CCATGAAATTTACTTTTCACACTGCTGATTTTGTAGTTTGTTAATTTCCAAGAAAACTTCGGCAGATGGTAAGAGTTTAAAAGTTCAAATCACCTGTAAGATAAAGAGAATAGGACACAGTATCCATAGTTGACCATCTACACCAGCTGTTTCTCCCCAAACGACATCCATTCTCTTAGCCTAGTAATAAAAAGAATACATAGGGAAATCAACAGATGAGTAAAATGATAGAACGGCAACCATCAATTATGAAACGTAAGAAAAATTCATAAATATTTATCATTGCATGCCTCGTTAGATGCTTAAATTTTGCGATTTCGGGGTAGGGATAATGAGCTCCAGTAATATAATGTGATGCAACATAAAGCAGAACGTATTGATATAAACTTCAATGTGATATGGATGTAGTCTCGAATGGCACCTTTCCAAGTGCAATCCGCGTATAAAGCCTCTGACGCTGATATCTATTTTGCAAAAGCATTGCAACCCCTTGCATCATGGCCCACTGTAGGAAGAGTTGTACACCTCTCTGGAGAAGATTGAGCCATACTATTAATCTAATGCATAGAGTATGCATGTATTAGGCAGGTAATGACAGTAGAGAAACCTGTTTTTGGGCACAATTAGGCTGTCCTTTAATCTCCCACGTAAGACTAACAAGGGCCATAATCATAGCACAATAGTGATGGTATATCCACCTGTAAAAGCATTACTCACAACCCTCACCATAATGTCTTTGAGACTAACTAAGGTCAAGATCATAGCATAATAGTGATGATATATCCACAAGCAAAAACATGCTCACAAATTTCACCACAATGTCTGTGCCATACCAGACACCACAAAAACATTGATAGAAGTACAAATCCCATCCATTAGACCATATTTAAAAATAGAGAAAATGGAATTGTTTAAAGCTTCCATAGAACAAACATCATCGTATTAAGCACCATATGTAAATGTAACTTGTAATGGATGCAGTGACAAGAGAACACATGCATGTTTAGGGCCTAGTTGGTATGCTAGTTGGTATGCAATCCAAATTATGTTTCTTATTTTCATACTCAATGAATCAAATGGAAACAATAAATATCAGTTTGGCATATTTGTTTTCGAAAATTGAAAACAGTGAATATTGGTTTGGCATATTTGTTCCCATATCTCATTCTTCTCTAAGTTCAGGCAGAAATCTCCTCTTTAATTGCTGTTTTTGGATTCTGTTATTCTTGAAAACAGTTTTTGGATTCTGTGGTCCAGATAGTGAAAATTCTAAAAACAATAATTTTTTTTGCTTTCAATGTTTTTTTAGATTTTAAGTAATAAGTCGGCTGGGCTTGCTATGAAGTAAATTAATTGATTTGGCATGGCTGTAAGTTCGAATGACTCACCATGAAATACTGTCTGACACCAACATTGTTCGCATTAGAACATTTCTCAAAACAGGGAACACCCAAACTAAAGTGGATTTTACTCCACTTTTAAGAGTGAAAATTAAAACATCCAACTTAGAGTGAGTTTGACGGGACATAATAAAGAAAAAATGATTTTGAATTGAAACTTAAAAATGTAGATTTACATTATAAATATAAAAATATAAAAAAAGAAAAATAAGAACTTTGATAAATATAATATTTGATTTCATTCTTGTTATAAAACATGTAAAATATAATATATTATAAATTATAAGACATTGTACAAAATTTATAATATATGTTAATAAATTAATTAATAATATTGTAGATTGAACTAAATATTTAGTTGATAACAATCACTAGTTTACAAATATTTATTAAATACACATTGAATAATTTTTTAAATTGTGAATCAATATCCAAATCTTCTACCAAGCACATTTGAAAATATTGAAAACATGGAATACAACTATACTTTTCATTAAATCTCTTGTTTTCATATTTATGTGCCCAAATCATCAACCAAACACACCCTAAATTTTTCTTCAAAACATGTAAATATCAATAAAACTAAGTCAAATATTAGACAATTGTGAAAAATATGCCCATATAAATAAAATTATTGATAATTTCTTTATTTCAAATTTTGACAATTATGAGATTCATAATCAAACATTATATATAAAAATAAATAATTTGAAATAAAATAAAATAAAAAACAAAATGATTAAAATATATAAAAGTTTAATATTATAAAAGATGTGAAATGGGAGAGAGGGAAAGGGAGAAGAGGAGATGAGAAGAGGAGATAAGATGAGGAGGGGAGCTAGTACTTTGAAACTTGGGGTCAGGCCTATCCCACATCGAGGAAGTTACAGAATGGAGATGTGAGATTTCCTATAAATGCCTTTGTTAACCACTAGCTTTCTCAAAGATATTGGCTCTTCAGTTGGGCTTGGGTAAGAAATTGTCTAAAGTGCTAGTAGTCTTTTATATATATATATATATAATTAGAGGTCCGACATGTCGTCGAAACAAAGGGAAAAACGAAATTCCCCCCTGTACCGACATGTCATTCACTATCTTAAATTCTGGTTGGCAAAGAGGTTGGAGAGGGAAAGCTTAATAGTGCAATGAAGAACCCGAATCACACTTAATTCTCTACAAATCCTAATCCAAAGGCTTATGGCAGTCAGGACTCAGGCAAGCAACAAAAGGGTGATCAATATCCTTACAAGCTTGTTTACAAATAAGACACCACCAACTTGGAAAAGATAGCAGGCCCATAAAACCTAGACTGCCACCAACTAAAATCACCTGAGAAAGTCTCTTGAAGAACCAACAACTTCTAAAGAAGACTTCATAAAGCTCTCTCCCATAGTTTCGAATGTTTGTAATCTCCCAAAAAAAAAAAAACAAACAAACCTCTTTTATTCCAGGACTTCTATAACCAAATGAAGGTGTTGTAGCGTGCTCTAAAGAAATTTACAGTTAAGCAACGAGAAGATGATCCTCAAGAGCAAATGTGATCTATACAATCACCGTTTGTTCAATTAGAGTTTGAAGGACCATTCAAGGCAATTTTTGGAAATGTAACTCTTTGGAGGTTGCCATTCATGCCAAGAGAGATGGTGGCATACGAAGATGAAAAGCAAATCAAATTATTGGAGTGAAACCATTTCCATGATGAAGTGAGAAGGGTGAGGGATGGGAGAGGAGGAGAGAAAGGGAGTAGAGCTTTGTTGCTGTAAGAGAATTTTTTGTTTTGAAAAAGGAATCAGGTTTTAATTACTTAATAGTTAGTGTCTCTTGTAAATGTTTAGGTTTATTGCTTGGTTTCACTTGTGCAGCCTTTTCTCTTTTGTACTTCCATTATTCTCAATGGAACTTTATTTTCATTAGAAAAAAATGTGATATCTGACTCATCAAAAAAAATTTTGATATCCCATGAGTGTCAAGGAAACTTATGGGCCTTTCACATGTCCTCATGCTAGACCAATCTAGGTTGGTTCTCATCAAAAAAATTGTATAAGAAACTTGTAATCTTAAACATCCAAAGCTATCATAATACCATTAAAAAATAATAATAAAATAGAACCATAAATAACAACATATCAAAGAAAGCAAAAATTGTAGTGCACTTACCAAGGACGAATGTCACTACCATTGACTCTAAGTATGTTTTCCCGCAATGCCAATCCAGTGTATAGGAACAAGAGCCATGCCTAGAAAGGACAATGATGCGTATTAGAGTTTGTATGAATATGTAAGTTGTCTTTCGAGGGATGGGGTTCACTTTAAAAAGATAAGCCTATAAATGCCAAGAACTCAAGATTTTCAAAAATTAAGTAGAAAAGAAATGGGGATAAATTTGTTTCACTTAGAAGTGAAGCTATAGAGAGACATAATAGAGCAGGTGAGAAATCCCCCACAAAAAGCACAAAAAATACATTGAAATTAGATCATCTAGGGTACATAAACGAGAATCTTGGAATAGGATAACTGGAAATGCTTATTTTAACACGGGAACAGATCCCATAGGCTTAAAAATGATGAAATTAATTTTCAGAGGAAGAGAAGTTACTATCCAACATTGTTTGTAGGAAGAGAAGTCACTATCAACCGCACAGCACCTAAGTCCTTCCTCTTCTGGATCAACACCAGACCTATCTGAAGTAGTCGTAGGGGAACTATGGGAAAAAGAGAAAAAACAAATCCTCGTTATCAGAAAAGGAGACCTTATCTGTACTCGTAGAACACAAATCTCCTTTTACCAATTTGGACCTTTTTCTTTATTTTTTCCATCTAGCTTATGACTTATCCAGACTTTTGGGCCTTTTCATTATATGGGCATCTGTTGCATACAAGTTAGTTCAAAATTCAAATTTTCTTCCTTATCCTGCAGGACATAGGGTGGCTCCTCTGTCTCACTATCTCCAAGGACTGATAACACCTCTATCACCTTTGTCCCTTCTCAAAGTGACTTATTTTTATTTACCCTTCGATCTTCAGATAATATCCACGTGGTTGTCACTTGAACCTTCACTTCCATGTCTTCATGATCCTTAATTGAGACCTCTGTTGGGACAAAACCACAATAATTTGCAGCAACTTTAATGAGAGCCTCCATACGATCCCACATATTAACAGTTTTGACTGAGCATTTAATTAACCCTCCACATTTATCACCCATGAATTTAAAGGTCTCCTCCTTCCATTTTCTTATTTTTATCCAACCACCATGAGAAGGTATAACTGAGATGGTGGCTACTGTTCCAAGCTTCGAATTTTCACTATGTAATTGCCCACCGTACACCAATCTTTGTTCTTACATAGCAACCTCACCTTCTCGTGATCATGGCAGGTCATTAAGACCTTATTAGGGTGGAAAGGGTTTAACACATATCATGAATTAACTACTGAAACACTACTTTGATTTTGTGTCGATCGTCATAAAAATTCTGCCTGGTTACTACAATAGTCTCCTCCCATGGCGTACTATAAAAATCACTATTTAGCACTTACCATGGGTTAGTTGTGGAATACTCTGGCCATTTGCCCTTCTTCTCCTCACATCGTACTGTTTTTTGGCTTACTACTTCAGCGAAGCTGCGTGTGCCAACTGCTTGGGCGTTTGAACTCTGCAGTTCCACTCAACCATAGACCAATCCCTGATATTTCTTAAACATCTCAACAAAGGCTGCCTACCCATCTTTGTTCTCCATCGCTGGTATCACAATATTTTGCTTCTTCCCATTGTCTTCCAATTTCAAAATCTCTACAATTGTTCCCCTCTTGTTCGAGAGCTTCGGTATCCACCACACAGTTTCTCCATTCCTCCATTTCCTTAAGAACTTGTGATTCAACGATCATATGACCAAATCAGAGATATTATCCACCAACCAGCGTGCTTCTTCCTTATCTAGATTGACATATAAACCGCCGCTCCTCCCCTTTCCTCTAGACGAAAAGGCTTGCTTCGATTTCTCGAGTCCCAATCTACCACAAACACCTTATGCTCCACTAAGCATCTAGTTGCACTATTTGACGCCACCATGCTTCACGTAGTTCTTAGTAGACGATCCATCAGTTTGATTTTTGAAAAGCCAAAGCCACAATGATGAAAAGAGAAACAAAGACGAGAGGAGAGAAAGAAGACTGGAGAGATCATTTTTCTGTTAGGTTCATTTCACCCATTACTCTTTTAGTTCTTAAGCCCCCCTCACCCTCAGCTCAACTACTAAGTTTCACATTTTCAGCCCTTTTTACCTTTTAACTAACCTCTCTTGTTTTTTCCCTATTACTTTTAGGAGCCTGTTTTCTTGTTGGTTCTCCCTCTTTTAGCCTGTATTTTTTTCAATTCAACTCCCTGTTTCTATTCTTTGATATTGAATTACTTTTTAAAAAACTTTGTTTTTTTAAAAGAGAAATAGCTTTTTATTTTTTAATTGAAACTAAGCTTTCATTGGGAAAAATGAAAGAATACAGGGGGAATACAAAAAACCAATCCCCAAGAAGGAGCCAAACTAAGACAAAAGAGGGCTCTAATCAAGGCTTAAAGAGTAATTACAAAAATTCTAACACACCAAAGCCCAAAGGAGAACATGAATGATGAAACCTAACAAAAACCTACTCCCAAATATTGGGACTCCCAATATCTCCCCACCCCCCTAAAAATTCTATGGTTCCTCTCACCCAAAAGGTCCAATAAGTGAGCAAGCCACAAGAAACGACCCTTATCACAAAAGGGCAAGTGAAGAAAAAACTCCTCCACCATAGGCCTACACCCTCTAGGCCGAGCCAAACTGAAGCCAATCGACTCGAACAATAGCTTGAGCTCCAAACAACCAATCAAACTTGCAATAAAAAGATAAATGACCTTTTATTGATAATTGAAAAGTTTCAAAGATAAAAGTGGTCCCTTACGCTTGTTTTTTAATGGCCTTTTTGATGTATTAAATATTGATCTTTAAAGCTTAGACATCCTAGGGCTCTATTTACTCTAGAAAACCATAGTGCATATAATATTTATATTTATTAATAAAAATGACTTGCTGCACTTAGGTGGTGTTGTCGCTGCTTGCTGCTTCTTGCCATGAGGCAATCAAGAGACTTGTGCATTGGGGTGTGCCTAATCTTATAAAATTATCGAATAAATATAATATTTGTGTCAAGAAAAAAGAAGTCCGAACTGGAACAAATAAAAAACTTCAAATATTTTTTGAAGAATAGAGTGATGAATGCCAAGTACATGCAAACCACGAGGTATTCGCTCCACAGTTCTTACTTCTTTTTTCAAAAAAAAAAAGAAAAGAAAAGAAAAGCTCCACAATTCTTACTATACTACCACCTCAAAAACATGTACAGAATAAAATCTAATATGTAACAATACCATCAATTAGCAAGAACTAGACTGATTTTGGAAGAAAATACCTGGTACAGCTGAACTGGAAATGCAGGCAAGCATCCATCCCAAATCCATCCTCTTAGAATAAGCAGCATTGATGGGAAAAGAAGAAAAAGAAGAGCAGTTCTATCCTGCTTGAAAGAGATCACAGTGAGTGCACTTCGAAAACAGAACAGACAAGGAATTATTTTCCCTAGGAAATGTATACGGTTGGCGAAAAGGGAAGAAGTGAGGAAAAAAAAAAAAAAATAAAAAAGAGGAAAACTCCAATGAATCTAGTCGGACCGGACAGAGAGAGTGAAAGAGAACAGAGACCACATGATATGGAGATGTTTATAGGAGAAATAAAACAGATCAATGAAATAACATGATACAAGTAATTTTTCAATAAGAATCCCAATTTCCAATTTCCAAGCAACTCAAACATAAAACCAAGATGTGCATATGCAGGGTACTCAAAAAATTTAGTTTTAAGTTTGATGAAAGAACAAGATGTGTGGAATTTTTCAATAAGAATCTCAATTTCCAATTGCCAAATTCCAAGCAAGCAATTCAAACAACACAACCAGACTTGATATGCAGGGTATTCAAAAAAGGATCACATTCTCTTTTGTCATGGTTCTACATCAACTCTCCATCTTCCTCTCCTTCCCCTCCCATTTCTTTTTTAAACGAGAAACAAACTTTGTCTATCATTGAAAACTTACAATAAGTTCAAAGTTCCAAACTCCCTGGGATATAAGGAAATTCCCCTCAAGCTAAAATTACAAAGGAATCTACATCCTCACAAATATCGTTTACAATGGTAAATAAATGAATAAACCCTGATTAAGAGTCTTGGACAAAATACCCAATAGCACGTGAACCTCCTAAATTGAGAAAAATATCATGTAGTAATTACTTATTAACATCAAGAAGTTGCTTTACATCCACCCCCTCACACCACTCCGTAAATTTATCCACAAATATCCTTGAGTTCCCATGGAACCAAATTCCTGAGATAGTCATGTAATCACAATTGTCCACAATAGTTTGGCTTTGCCTTTGAACTTGATTCTATATAGAAGTAATAATGTTATTCTTTGTGCTTTTGTCCAACACCCATGAGATATTGCAGTCTTGAAATAGGACCTGCCACCAGTTTTTAACAGCCAAACAATGGAACAATCAAGTAAGTGATTTATGTTTTCATTTCCCTCTAATGTCTTCTAGCCACTACGTTTCCAACTGTAGTTTAGTCCATTAGAGAAGGATGAAGTTTACTGTTGGCAAGAATAAAATTAAACAAAAAAAACTACCATAGATTTTGAGGAGAAAGGGGGGAAGGATGGGAAAGATAAAACTCTTGACAAGTCCCTGTGGAGTTCCCTTAGACTCTATGACAGTTAGCAGGACCGTAGATGTGCTCTAACAAAAGGGGATAACTCTTATCAAAAAACAAGAGGGGATAACCTTGCATAAAACAGTAATCTAGTTATGTTCGTAGGAGCTAAGAGCTAAGCTAAAAAATTAAGGCACTTTAAAGGCTCGAATCCCCACGTCCACATTTAATTAATAATAGAAGATTGTGCTGGTAGGAGCTGACTACTGAGCTGAAAGAATGGAAGGCGTCCAAGGGCTGGATTATGGATGTATTCACAGCTTTGAGAGGAACCTAATTGAGAGAGAGAAACTAGGGACTGGTTAGGTATCTTAAGTGAAGTAGAAGGTGTCAGATGGGAAGTGAGACAAATCCAAGTTCATTGCCAACTTGTGGGAGATTTGGCTAGAAAAACCACAAGAGTCTTGCAAGCAATAATTAATTCAGTACCAGCGGAAATCTTGAGCATCATTCCTTCTGTGGCCTTCTGAAGCATCATTCAAGCTAGAGGAAGGAATAAAATTAACTAATATGATCCATCTGAAGCATCATTGAACTATCCATAGAAGAAAAAGGCTTGGTCAAGGTTCAAAG